TTCGGAGTCCTTACCACGAGATCTTCACTTTTCCCAACAGCAGCGTCGGACGAAAAGCGCTCCGCGGCCTCCAAAACCCAAGATTTCTCTTTTTCCCTTTTCTCTTTCTATCTCTAAAATAGATATTTTGATTTTAAAAATATTTTCTCTCTCATCAAAACGAGCTGATTTCTTTAAATCAGTTGTCTGATCGGCCCGGCCGATCGCCAAATCGTCCCGGGACGATCAGACCAGAAAAATCGTCCTGGACGATTCCCAGAACTATTCTCAGGCCGATATTTTCTACAGTACCGATCGGCCTGGACGATTTCCAATCGTCCTGGACGATCCTGAGAGGAAAAAATTCAAATCTGAGAGGAACAGTAAGGGAACGAGGTCTCACAAGCAAGGTACTCAATTAGGTGCACACAAGAGAATATGAGAGCCACTTACGAAAGAAAAAAATAAATAAAAAAACTCACCCACAGAGTCCTCAGACAAGGGTATTTCTCAAGAAGGTGGGTCCAATGTCAAAAATTTGCTCTTATAAAGCTACAAGCTTCCTTCAAACTCCAACAAATCACTAGACCATGTCCATTCACTGTCTTGGTAATGGATATCCTATTGTTTTCTCCTTCTATCGAGTAAAGGCAGTTTATCTAGGTGTGTCAATTCGGGTCAACCGGTCGGGTTCGGGTCGAACCCGGAACTGACCCGGCACTATTCGGGTCAACCCGAACTCGGCCGGTTTTTAAAAACGGGTCAGATTTTCGGACCCAAACTTGACCCGATTCGGGTCCAGGTCAACCCAACCCGACACGAATGATCCGGGATTGACCCAAAATTGCTAGTTTTGGGTCAAAAATCGGGCCAATCTTTAATTTTTGGGTCAGAAACGGGTCAAATACGAGTTTTCATATCAATTTTGGGTTGCTGGGTCAACCCGACCCAGTTTTTAAAATGGGTTGATTCGTTGAACCCGAACCTGACCCGTTTCGGGTCCAAGATGACCCTATCCCGGATTTTTTCAGGTCGGGTTCGGGTTAGGTTCAGGTCATGTCAAAAAATGACACCCCTAAATTTATCTTAATCATGGTTGAATACTTCTCTAAGTTTATAAAAAAAAAAAATTTAAAAAAAAAAATAAAGTTTATAGAAGTTAAGTTGATAGCTAAAGCTCTTATCATCATTACTCATAATTGGTAAGTTGATCGACTAGTGCGTCAAAAGTTCTATCATTCACAAGGAATTGATATCAATTTTTCCTTTGTGTAGCATCCCCAAATCAATGGGTACGTTGAGGAAGTGAACGAGCAGATATTGAAACTGTTAAGAAAGTAGGAGCAAAAGGCAACTTGGTGGAGATACTACATCCAGTCTTATGGGAATTAAGGACCATGCCATCTTTGGGGACATGCTAAATGTCATTCTCGCACTCTCCCACGAGCTTGACGCTCTATTGCTAATTGAGTACAGGCTACACAGCCGGCGAGTGATCATTGTAGCTGGTTTCAATGAATAAGATATCATCAAGTGGGAAGAGAAGAATAAAGAAGGCATGGAGATTGTAATTGACCTTCTAAAGAAGTTGAGCTTAGACCACACTTAAACAAGAGTAGAATTGAAAAGTACAATAACACAAATTTCAAGGAGAAGGTCTTACATCCCAACAACCTGTTGCTTATGTAGCTTCTCACAAATTGGTGCTAGGAAAGCTTGGATCAACCTAGGAGTGTCGCAACTCATCCAATAAGACCCTCAAATTTGGCAGGTCCTGTCATATTGGCTTGCAATAACATGCAAATCTCAGGATCTAAGTTTTAAAAATTATACAATTTTTTCCCAATTTAAACTTAAAAAAAAAAAAACAAACCATAGAGCTATTAGTAACATCCAATGTATTGAAAATAAACTCATCCATAACATTCTCTTTTTATTTCATCCTCAAACTATATATACAACAATTATTCTATAATACATGACTACAAACATAAATACAGAACAAAGTTGAATAATGATTAGTCATGACTGTACAAAAAATTAAAAGTAAGAAATACTTATACATACTCCTGATATTGCTACTCAACTAGCTCTTTCTCTTTCTCATACCCTGAAAAATAGAAGGCAAAATTAAACTATGAGCTAACACAGCTCAGTAGGCTGCATTTATCTATCTAAATTTTCAAATAATTCATTTATCATAAGTGCATCTGAATTTAAAATAGTTTATATTAAGTAATTGTACTAAACAGAATCTAGCTAGCAATTATATTCTTAAGGGAAGTTATTGTACTCAAATTACACCTTCTATCCTAATGATAATGAAATAAATTTCTTTTTTAATTTCCTTTCTTCCTAACAAGTCCATTATGAAATAAATGAATGATGAAAAATAATAAAGTAATGACTCATGGATTTCACCCCATCTCCATGTGTAATTGGTGAACTCACCCAGCTTCCTTGGACACAACTAGAGATTTCAAACTTGCATGGGATAGGGAAGGAACTCGTTTGCTATTTAAATAGCTTTTGAGTAAGTCAATCGTGTAAGTCAAAGCAATTGAATGATGATTATACCTAATTCTTCTCCTAAGTAATAGAGTCTGAAGCTTGGCAACTTCAAGCACCAATGAGTGACAAGGCATCTGAAAAATTCTAACTCACCGGAGCCACTTGGATAACATACTAAAAGAGTTCGTCCAACTGTGTTAAAAATTAATATTTTTGTTGCAAGTTCAAGCCTAAAAACAACAAGACTACTCCCTTTAGGAGAGCTAAGGCCCCCAGGTAGATAACCGGTAAGAGAGCTAAGATCCTGAGAAAGACAGATAATTTGTGCTTAATGAAGTTATATTTTTTATTTTTTTAACTTGAGTCTCCCTTCTAAGGGGAAGATATGACCAATAAACATAAAAGAGAAAATTTGAAATGACTCAAAAAGAGATCCTATTAATTAGACGAACCTACTCTCCGCTCATCACTTGTAACTCATAGGGCCACTTGCCGCTCACCGCTCGACAAACCCACTTGCCACTCGTCACTCATCTCTCATCTCTCGACATGGGAAGCTTATCACTTATCACTCAAACTCATAGGCTCACTCGCCGGTTGTCATTTGGTGACTACAATAAACACTCAACATACCCGCTCATTACTCGTAACTCGATGAACTCACTCATCACTCGGCAAGCTCACTCACCAGGCATCTCTCATCAATCATAACTCGACGGGCCCACTCAGTTAGTGATTGCCCATGTGTCAATTGTTCATGTATATTTTTATATTTTTTTAGCTACATATTTTGTTGGCTACAAACCATATATAAATGAATATGTTTCCTTCTATAGCTTTTTCCCTAGCCCTACAATCCTATAAATAAGGTCAGAGGACGGTTTCGGTAAGGTGGAAATCATTCAAGACCACTTGCATTGATCAGTAATAAAATCCTTAGATTTGGCAAATTATTCTTTTTCTCTATCCCTACTATTATGCTGTGAGACTTGTACTTGAAAGTTGTTTATGATGTATTTCATCAATTCTTGTTTTAAGACTTGGATAGAGACTTACTCTAGAATGAGAGGAGTTTAATGAGGACCTAGGAATTATAATACTTTCTCGCTTAGATCTTGCCAAAATAGGCACATCATTCCTGAAGAAAAATTCAAATTGTTTTTCTCATTCAGAGAAGAGCTTTGTAACAAATGCCGCAATGAACCTGCTCCGACATGTTGAAAGCAATTCAATCTGTCATAGAACATGCCAAGTCAACCTGTTTGGATGAGCCAATTTCGATTTATTAACTAGTACTAGTTCAATTACCACAGCCAGTAAACTTCGGTGCAGCCTTTCCTAAGCTCAACCCCAAAAAAAAAATGATTTCTTTTTTGGGAGATTTACATACATACCAGTTCAACACATTGCAAAACCAAATGGAAGAAATATCTCATGAATACAGCAAAGAGAGCAACCTGGAATAACAATTAATAGTCCAGCTTCATGCCGGCCGGCATTAGGCTGAAATAATAATCAATACTAACCAAGCCACTTCGTTGATCATGTAAATTTCCTTCCAAGCACCAACACTCTAAAAAACTATAAGTACCCCCTCATCGCAGCACAACAAACCAAGCAAATTCCTGAAAAAGAAACGAAAATGGCAATGAGAGCCTGCCTAGTACTCATCGTAGTTCTCTCAGCTAGCCTCTCAGCCCATGCCGGCGACCCCGACATCACCTCCGACTTCATTACTCCTCCTGGAAGCACTCCAGACGGCAACTTCTTCACCTTCACAGGGCTTAAAGATGCCATTAATGGCGGACCAAAAGGTGTCCCCTTCAAGGCGACCAAAGCAAGTCAAGTAGAATTCCCTGCTCTCACAGGCCAAAGTGTCTCCCTTGCTGTTCTCCAGTATGAGCCCGGTCACACGGGCATCAACCCGCCCCATATTCATCCTCGCTCAGCAGAGCTCTTGCTTGTGATACAGGGAGCGGTTATTGTTGGCTTGGTTGATTCAACTAATAAGCTCTACACGCAGACGTTATATGCAGGCGATGCGTTTATATTCCCCAAAGGACTTGTTCACTTCCAGGTTAATGGGGACTCCAAATACCCTGCAATTGCTGTATCTGCTTTTGGCAGTGCCAGTCCTGGAACTGTCTCTTTACCGAAGAACATTTTTGGCAGTGGGATTTACAATTGGGTGTTGGCCCAATCCTTCAAAACTGATGTGGACACCATTAACAAACTCGTTTCAGCTAATAGTTAAAAAGAGTTGCTTTGCCAGTGTTGTCTGTGCTGTTTGACATTGTCTTGGATATTCAGTTCGGTCTCAAACTTCTAATAAGCTGAACTCATGTGATGGATAATACTGGTTTGAAAAGAGTTGTTTTTATGAATCATGCCTGCATTTTATGGAATACTTGATAGGAATTCTCCTTTTTTTTTCTTCTGCAAGTCAGTGATTGTCGTTCCACACGTAGCACATCAGATAAAATATATATATATATATTATTTATAATTATTTTAGATATTGAGCATTGTAAAACATTTATGAAAATCATTTTGGTTTAAATATGGGGCTATTTTAAAATGATCAAATAAGTAGATTATTATTTTTTTTATTAATATGATAAATTAAAGTTATGAATGTTTATTGATATATCATTAAATATTATTTTTATGGGGTATGAATCTCGAGGTAAAATCAAATTTTAAACTTCAAAATTAAATCTGGGATCATCTGAACTTTAATTTTAGCAAACTTACAGTCGAACTGAACATCTCAGAATTAAGAACCCAACAACACCAAATTCAACTCAGTCCAAGCCTAAATGGGTCCAAATTGAAGACCCAAAGTGCATTTGAAAAGTTCAAACCATAAATTGGATGGCCAAACAATTTCTAAACACAACTTGCTTATAGTCGAATCAAGCGGCCCGACGAGAAGAATCCAAGGAGCCCAAGATCATCAAATTCTGATATCATTAATACATTCAAATGTCCAATAAACAGTTCACTATCAAGGGAATCAACATCGGTCGTCCATTCAAATCACTCCCAACTTACCCTTGATCTCCATCATATTTACTTGTCATGTCACTCTCAGAAAACTATAAATAGAACCATCGCTACTCGTGGAAAGGAGGCTCAAGCAAGGAAGAGAGGGAAGAGAGAGAAGCTAGAGTTCTCTTGCCACCGAACTTCTCCTCGACCATCATCAGACTTCCGATAGGCCACCAACTAACGTCGGACTTCCGCCCAGCAACCGACTGAAGTCAGACTTCTGCCCGACCGCTGACTATGGCCGAACTTTCACCCGACCACTGATTGTCGCCAGATTTATGCCTACCCATTGACTGACGTCGAATTTCCGCCCAACCATAAACTGTCTCCGGGCTTCCGCCTGGCCATTGACTATCGACAGACTTCTACAAAGGCCACCGACCAACACTAGTTTTCCACCCGATCACCAACTAACACTGGATTTTTGCCCAACCACTGAACGTCGCCGGATTTTCATCCGATCTCCGCTCATCACTAGATTTCAACCCGATGGTTGATTGTTTCGATATGATCATCCTTAATATGTTGGATCATTCATTTATAATATATTCAAACACTAGTAAACTTATTTCAATTGGGCGCGGCACTATGATTTTTCCCTTTTTCAGGATTTTCCACATAAAAAATCTTGTGTTTTCTGTTTGTATGATGGATATCCATACAACGCTGAGATAAAAAATTCTAACTCTATAACCGCGTATATTTTAGTCCACATCATTTATAATTAACTTAATAAATAATTAGTTTGGTTGAATTAAAATTTTTTGTTTTTGAAATTTCATCAATAATTACAATTTTAACTTACTTGAATGTCAAGAAATTTTTGAATTAATTTAAAGATTGATGGGGAAAAAATAAAATTTATTATTTTTGCTAATTAACCACAATTATTTTGATACCACACATCACAATTAGGGGTGTCATTGAGTTTAGCTGCCTCATGAGTCAATTCGAACTCAACTCGATCAATAAATTGTTTGTGAGTCGAGCTTGATTTGATGAGCTAATAAGTCATGTTTGAGCCAACTGCGACAGGACTAGCCAGTTTGGAGCCGACTAGTTTAAAAATATTGAAATTAAATCAACTTAAAATATATAAAATTTTAATCAATTCACTATAAAGTTGCTAAAAAAATATTTAAATTTTATAATTCTCTTTTGTATTTCGAGTGATTTCTTATTATTTCTTATACAATTTCTTATTCTTTTTTATTATATTTTTAAAATAATAACTTGAATTAGAATAATTTTATCTCTTTTATAAAAATTAATCTAGCTCGTGAACTAATCCGTACCAATAAAATTAAGATCCCCTTCCAGCTCACGATCAATTGATCAAATTTAAGCTCAAATCAAATGTGACTCGAATTCAACTCGACATATTTACAGTCCTAATCACAATCAATCTTCTGTTAAAAAAAAAAAATCTTCTATATGTAGTTAAAAATTAAAAAATTAAAAAATTCTTCCATATGTAGCCAGAGTCTTTAATTATTATTCATTTATTTATAATTTCATTATGATAATGGGAAATTTTTAATATGAATATATTACATTATATCAACTATCATTAAAGAAATCTTTAATAGTTCAAACTCAATAGGCCAATGCTACGCTTTGTAATATATTTTCATTGAAACAAATCGCATAAGTAGCCCTCAAATAAAACAAAGGAGACATTGGAACCCTCTGTAATGGCTTCCATGCTGGCCTGGAAAATATAATAAACTACTGTGAGTGCGCGATAAAGCATGTAAATAGGACCGATTAGAAAATTTCAACGTAACAGAACAAAAAAAAACCATAAGGTTTTTTAAGAAGTTATCGCAGAGACTCATGTCCTGCCGGGCTTAGTTGAGTTAGTGGGCGAGCATGATTAAGAACTTTCAACTCCTATTCAATTTTTCTCTTATGCGACACGACTTCTTAAATGGGGAGAAAATAAATATGTGGCCCTGCACATGTGGGGTTATTTGTTGGTAGGCCCACCGAGGGATTAATTACGCCACTATTCGCCTCTTTTGGGGGTGGCAGTAGGTAGATACGACCAGTTCTTTAAAAAAAAAAAATCATAGCTCATGCAAGTAAGACTGACGTCCTAACAGCTTTCTTATGCTTTAACAAGCATTTTTAATTCAAAAAATTTTTATACTAAAAATTACTTCATAAAACAAAAAAAAATTAGTCTAAAGGAAGCCTAACTTTGTTATATTATATTTCTGATGATTATTGTAAAATCAATTACATCATTATTTTTTAAATAGATTTAAAGTGTTCGTCAACATTAAAGTTATTTCGGACGGCTTTCTTACTGCTTCTTAAAGTGATTTTTTAGTATAAAAATTTTAATTTTTGTAGGACAACCTAATTTAAGAAACAATAATAAAAGAAAGCCGTTCCAAATGAAGCCTTAGGTCATCTCCAACCGAGAACTCTATTTTTCACGCCAAAATACCGCAAAAAGCAAAAATGGCGTGGTGCTGCTCCAATCCAACGCCATTTTTTTGCTTCTACGCCTAGGTAACGACCCTTCTCCTTTCCCACATTTTTTCGGTTGACAGAGAAAAATGGCGTGGGTGAACAGTGCAACGCCAATATTGACGTTGCACTGTTCACACGCAAGCAAATGGAGGATTTTTTGACGTTCGGCTGGAGCGAAGGAATGACGCCAAACACTCATTTGGCATTCGGCTGGAGATGCCCTTACTAATAAAATATCCTATATTTATTTTACACTATATATTTTTACTCTGTGTTACTTTTTCAGTAAAACAAACAGCCTCTTTATAGTGTAGTAAATTAGTAATACTGATATTATTTTTTCTAATTTTAAAGGATATATTTTAAATTTAAATCAAAATTCAGGAGGTTGATAATGAAGATATAACTTATGTTGTGCTTACGTAGCTATGATTACAAACATAATAATAATATCTGCCAACAATGAACACAATAGTTTATAAGCACTTCATTTGGGACAATTTTTTTGTTACTTTCTAAAATATCTTTCTAGTACAAAATTTTATTGAATTAAAAAATTTTATATAAAAAAATCTGTTTTAAAAAGCAGTATGAAAGTTATCGCAAACGAAGCCTAAGACTAATATCATAACGAACAAACTATAAATTTCATTAAGGATGGCCTCTAATTTTAACCATTATAGATTATGATTAAATTATCATAAATTTAATATGCTTATTGTCCAAATAGAATCAATTTTTTAAATAACATAAGACCATTTAGTTCTCTTCTAATTCTTTTCCAGACGATATCCTATTAATTATAAACTATAGTTTCAAGTTTGTGAAGATCTATAAATTTGGGTTCTCATGATGGAGGGATCTGATTATTCATAAGTGATTCTCTTGAAAAAAATTTCTTGCAGTTAGTTTAGTGGAAGTGCTTGAACTTCTAATTTATGTGCTAAAATGAATTATATATGTTTCATTTAGAATAGTTTTAAATCACTATTTTTTCTGTTTTTAAGAAATTTTTGTAGTAAAAAAATAGCTTTATAAAGCATATTACAAGCTATAGCCAGAAAAGTTGAGAATGGACAAGAGCAATGTAATGCTTGCATAGTGCAGAACCTTCAGGTCCTTAGAATCTAGCTCTAACCTCTTGCGTTGGAGTAATTATTGTGTCTGGACACCGAACGCGTCCAGAGACCAATAACAGAGCGTCATGTCACCTGGGTGCTCAGTATCGAGCACTCGATATTGCTCGGTATTCGTCCGGATTTCCAATTTTTTATCCGGACATAATAACTTTTTCCTCGTGTTGGCACATCCAGCCCTCCCTTGGTTGAAACTTGCAAGGAGGCTCTTAACCTTAGTTAATCCTTTTGGATCCACCTAACCCTACTCTAAAAGAGGCACTCTCAAGAACAAAGATTTCAATTAAGTCTTTGAAAGTGGTATCTAACTCCTAATCAAGGTTGCTTAGGAAGCTTGATCCCTTGCATAACAACAAGCTCACCTCTCCTAATACAATTTTGATTGGTATTATGAAGTAACAGAATGGGTTTTGAAACATATTCATTCGGTAGAAATAACAAAGCGGCATATACAGCCCGAAATAAATCTTTCATTAAATTGTGGTGTAAATATAGAATTACTTAAATCCGATGAAAATAATTTAGAAATGAAAACAATTCATCCTTTGCTCGGTGCAACCTCTAGGGGGGGTGACCTACACGCATAACATCCCTATCAACGGTCAGAAAAGGCTTGCTTCCCATCTCTAATGTTTCTTTTGGGACGACTTTCTTATTATTTCTTAAAGTAACTTTTTACTACAAAAATTAAAAATTTTATACTAAAAAACTGCTTTAAGAAGCAGTAAGAAAGCCGTCCCAAACCAAGCTTAATTCTCATGTTCCATTGAATCGTCAGAATCACTCCTTTCTACTTCTCCTTCTACGAAAGTTTCAGTAGGAACAACATCTGGTTTTGATGCAGGAACCTGAGCTGTTTTCCTCCGCTCAACATTTGCATCATCTGCTTGCGATCTTGCACCGAGGAGTTGAGCAAATGCAGAATAATGATAAAAGGTACTGTACAGTCAGTAAAAATAATCAAGAAAAAAATAGGGAATCGTTGCTCAATTGATAGAATAGATAATGAGTGGATTTCTGGACCCCACACTTTTTCTCTATGTTCTGTACAAAAATGTGTAGCATCAGACTACTTAGTGCATTAAAAGTTCTAGGCTTAATAGGGAAAATTATTACGTCCGGTGTCCGGATTCTTCCGGACACCAATCCAAACGCGCCACGTCACCTAAATACACCGGGCCCCAGTCACGTCAGCCAAATATATTGGGCACCGGTGTATTTGGGTGATGTAGCGCGTCTGGATTGGATGTCCGGATGTCCGGTGACCGGACGTAATAATTCGCCCTAATTTAGATTGCAACAACAATTTTGAAAATAAAATGAAAAGCCGCATATAGGTTTCGTTTGGGACGACTTTTTTCTGCTTCATAAAATAATTTTTTAGTATACAAATTATAATTTTTGTACTAAAAAGTTGCTTTATAAAGCAGTAAGAAAGCTGTCCCAAACAAAATCATAAAAGGATATTGTCGACTGTCCCACCAGACATAATGTTCAGAAGATCTTTCTCAACCGGCTGTACCAGCTCTGGCTGCACAAAGAAAGGGAGATATGTAACATATCTACGATGAAAATTATACTTGAGAATACAAGACTTTGGATCTGCTTGAATACATTGAGATCAGGTTCTCTACGGAACCGTCTTTTACGAGCATCCCTCATTGGAGGGGTAAGACCATGCCTGTATTCTATTCCTTCAGGAGAAGGTTCACCTTCTTCCCTCACCATGATTATCTTCAAAATGAGCAAATGATTCAGAAATTGGACTTGATCACTTGAACGAGGCAAAAGAAGTGGAACTGTGGAAGTAACTATCTACCTGACCAATATCAGCAGTTTTGATTAGTACGGTATCATCATATGTTTTATAAGACTCCACAACGCCTGGAAGATCCAAGAGAGAGGCAGGAAAAGTCTCATTGCCAATGGAAAAAGCACCAGTTCTTCCATCATCTACAGAAAAAAAACTTCCTATTACTCACCTACGTTTACATTGAAGCAAAGAAAGGACATTCATCTAATGTTGAATATTAAATATGAAAAGATTTTGATGCAGGATGATTCAAGATTAGAATTCTTGATGCAACTACTAGAATGTGTGGTCTCAATTCATGCAAAATAACCTAAGGATTCACAATTCACATGCACCAATTAATTCAACAACTTACATTTATTACATATAAACAATCAATACAAGAATTAGAAATCATAAGTTAACAAAATAAACAAAAATAATCAAAGAAATTCAGTAAGAATATAACATCAAGTAAAATCAACAAGCAAATTGTAATTTTCATTTAGTAAAATTTGAACCAAATTAAGAGCATTAATCAATTCAATATCAATTATCGAAAAGAAGTGGCTCAAAAACTTGGATTGTCTATTCATCCCATTAGTATTTATACACAAATAATATCTATAACAATTAGGAAATTATAAAATATTTAAGGAGAAAAATAATAACATTGAATGGTTGCCAGCTCCACATAATAAAATTTATATACATACATTCCATTTTAGCATCAAATACCCTCCAAATCACCAATCCATGGGAGCAAGCCTTCATTTCTTGTTTCTTCCACATATAGGAATACAATGATATAATGAATGGGCAACTGATCCCTTCATTATTCTCAAGTCGATTCCATTGATTTCTTTCTTGTTTCCGCCAAGTCGCAATCCATAGGATTTTGTATTCTAAACACACTCCCTAAAAATAAATAGCAGAGACCTATCGCTTCAACAATAACAATAACAAGCCTTTATCCCATTATGTGAGGTCAGCTACATGAATCTTTTTTCTCCATTATGTACTGTTAATAGTCAAATTATCATCTAAATCTAGTAAAGAAAGATCATTTCTAATATTTTCTGAGCAAGTCTTTTTTGATCTACCTCTACTTTTATTAACATAAGTCAAATCTAATACATCTACTTTCTTCATCGGAAGACTGTCATTTTATGTGACCAAATCATCAAGGCAACTCTCTCTACTTCTACCAGTGCTACTCCAACATTTTCACGTATATGCTCATTTCGTATCTTGTCTCTAAGAGTAAAGCCACTCATCCACCTGAGCATCCTCATCTCTGCAACACTTAACTTAATAAGTTTGAGATCACACAACAAGCCAAATGCATTCCTCCACTTCAACCATACAACTTGAATTCAACTAATCATATCCTCATCTATTTCATCACCATCACTCTAAACAATAGACCCAAGCCATCTAAAACGTGTACTCTTATTAATGACTTGATCATCCAAAGTCACAATCCTCCCACTAGATCTATTATTACTAAAATTACACTCAATATATTCAATTTTAGATCTACAAAAACGAAAGCCTTTAGACTCTAAGATTGACCTCCATAATCTAAGTTTGCCATCAACTCTCTCTCTCTAGTCTTATCAACAAGAAGAATATCATCAGCAAAAAGCATACACCAGAATACAACCTCTTGCAAATGTCTAGTGAGAACATCCATGACTAAAGCAAAAAAGATATGGTCTTAAGGCTGATCCTTGATGTAATCCAACATAAATAGAAAAATACTTGGTCAAACTACCTTGTATTTGAACACAAGTAACAACACCTGCAATATATCTCTAATGACTTGAATATAAATATTATAAACTCTTTTCTTTTTTAGAACTCTCCATAACACTTCTTTTGAAACTTTATCATATGCTTTCTCTAAATCAATAAATATCATATGAAGATCCTCCTTATTCTCTCTATACTTATCCATCAAACCTCTCAATAAGTATATAGCTTCCATAGTAGACCTACCCGGCATGAATTCAAATTGATTTTGAGAAATATTAGTATCACCTCATAACCTATGCTCCATAACTTTCTCCCAAAGTTTTAAAAGTATGACACATCAACTTAATTCCTCTATAATTCACATGTATCATCTGTATTCTTAAAAATATGAATCAACACACTCATTCTCCACTCATTTGACATCATTTTAGTCTTCAAAATAATATTAAAAAGTTTAGTAAGCTAAGAATCTTTTTCATCTCCTAAGCATTTCCGCACCTCTATTAGAATATCATCAGGTTCAACAGCTTTTCCACACTTCATTTTCTTTAAAGCCTCTCTAACTTCGATTTTACTAATACGTCAATAAAAACAAAAATCTTTAATTTCATTTAGGATACTAAGGTCATTAAAGCCAATCATATTCTGACAATCTTCATTGAAAATTTTTGCAAAATATCTCATCCACTTTTGTTGAATATCTTCTTCAAATAAAAGTACTTTTTTATTTTCATCCATAATGCATTGCATTTGCACTAAATCCTTACTACTCCTATCTCTTAGTTTGGCTAACTTATACAAATATTTTTCACATCCTTAGTATCTAGTTTATTATATAAATCATTAAATGCTAAAAACTTTATATGGCATATTAATTTTTTAGACTCCTTAAGGGCCTCTTTATATTTTTTCTAATTATCAGAGTTTTTACTTCTAAACCAAATTTTACAACATTTTTTTTAAATTTTTTATTTTTTTCTCGCAACTTTTGATTCCACCGCCACCTATTTTTACTATTAGAAGATTTTTCATTTGATACTCCAAACACATCTTTTACAACATTCTTAATATCACTAGTAACCTTTTTCACATAATATTAGCTTCCTCATGCATATAACAAAATCTTAAGATTTACAATCTTACTCACAAAAATATTTTTTAAAAGCCCCCATCTAGTCCTAAAACAACATTCTACCTTATTTTTTATATTATATCCCATCATTTTAACGTCCAAAACTAATAAGGATTGTTGGGTATACACTCGGAATAGCTTTACAATTTTTACAATCTAAATGATATATTTTTTTCTTATAAGAAAGTAATCAATCTGAGTTTTATTATATCAATTCTTATAGGTGATTAGATGTTCATCTCTTTTATTAAATAAGGTATTAGCAATTGCAAAATCATAAGCTATCAAAAAATCTAATATAATCTTATCATGTTCATTAGTCACTCCAAGCCCATAACCACCATGAATGCTTTTAGGGGCTGTTTGGTCTGCCGTATTATCAAGGTAAAGTAAAACAAATCCAGGTATTTATTAAATTTAGTTGTTTGGGTAATTTTAAGCGGAACAAAAAGAATCCCTCCGAAGCCTTAGTCGTGTATTACAGGGGGTGTTCGGGCGAATTAGAAACCCGCTCAATATGAGCGGGTTTTAAAATCTCTCGCTGAAGAAATACTTGGCATCGTCGTTGCAAGGATCGGCATTGCTGTTCGGCTTCATTGGTTCGCAGGAGGTGTAAGATTGCGCGAGTGGCTTCTTCGGCTCCTTCGTTCTACTTCGACTTCGCTCCTCCAACGACGTTCCCTTCGCCTATCCGATCTGAAGTTTTGGCATTTTCATCGGAAGAAAGGACAGGAGCTCGCAAGTTCTGAAGGTAACGTTCTCCCTTTCGCGCGCTTCTTCGGCCAAATCCCGTCAATCCTTCGCACGACAGGAATTAGGTCAAAAACCCTTATTTTTCCTCGGATAGATATAGCTCTGTCACCATCTTCTTGATGTGCACCTCAAACAATCTCTTCAGCTCCTTCACAACAAATTTGCTATTTGTACAAAAATTATCTTTTTTCTCATTTCTACTTCTCCATTTCTCTCTGGTAAAGTTTTTTAGAACTTTCTCATGTACTAATATACATTTTCATAAGAGTTTCGTAATCTGCATCCATCCTTGAATGAGGAAAGTCTGAAAGCAGCTTATGGCTGGCCCAGAAACTAAGAAGTGGAAACAGAACAATTTATAAAGAGTAGTTTGTGATACAAGGACCCTACTCAATGAGTTATCAGAATACAGATTCTTCATGCTCATTCATTTTAATCATCAAAAAAAACTTACAGCCGTAGCAAAAGAGCAAATTGGATTGTAACTGCAAAGCATTTCCAACACTATTAGACTTGACCACTAAACTAATAATAACGTAATGAAATCAAAGAGCTAACCCTGTTCTCCTGAAAGGAAATGTCAATCTTGGATATGTCCTCCTGAGTTTCAAGTGTAGCCCTCAGTGAGGGGATGACATCCTCTTCCATCATCTCTGGCAGAGGCTTTACTGGAAGTTTCTTTGGCTTCGCAGCAGCCTCTTTCTTTACTGTTGCTGCCACTGGATTTTTTGCTGCTGCTACTGCTTTGTCTGCTTCCTTCTTATCACCAACTAGAAGAAACACGATTCCGAAATAAACAAAGTATGGGAAATAAGTAAAGCCAATGAGAAGAGTACAAACCGGTGGCAGTTGATGTTTCCTGCAAGGTTGAATATAGGATGATTCTGTGTGCAATTTTTGCTGTTTCAAATCTATAATAACCGATTGGTTGAGATTGTGAGCTGAATTTTACAATCCGAGGATGAATGGGCTATAAGAAGCCATTGTAGAAGCCACTGTAGAAGAGGAGAGCAAGCAGCTGTAGATGATTCGCGAGAATGGCTAGATAAATGATGCAGGACTAACTTAGATGCTATGGTTATGGTTTCATTTGAGCATTGCACAACTATTGAATTAGAATAATTTCAGAACAAAATTATAAGCAATCTTCAAACGACGATTAAGACAAATGAAGCGATCAATTGCGTAGGCGAAATCACATGCTCCGAATTTGAACTATCAAGATAATTGAGAAAATAAAAACAATACCGAATAGTAGTTTTCAAATTAAATCCCTAATCTAACAACGAGACGTAGGATGCATAGAAGATTACACTCAATTCCTACAAATGACTAAGCTTGGCAAGAGCAATTTGAAGAAGCTTTTCGTGATGACAACCACCCAATGAGAATTTAGATTTAGAAGAAATAAAATGCAAGTGAGAAAGGGAAAACCTTTGCTTAAGGAAACATAGAGATCCGTCACTCGTTGTCTTCAATGTCTCCGTCTATGACTTCCTTCGATGCAAGTAAGATACG